CCCTATCCCTGCAATTTAACACGGCCAATCCTCCTAACCGGCACATCTTTGGACGTGTCTGCATCCTCCTCACAGCTCACCCTCCCCACCCAGCTTTGCAAGTTTCGAGAAATTGTATTAGGTTCCTTTGTCCAAGTTATGCTGTGACTAGCTCGGGTCCTAGTACTAACCCCTGCAGTAGCCCACCAGTCACTGCCTGCCATTTACGAGAAAAAAAATCCATTGATTCCGACTCTTTGATTAGCAGACTGGAAACAATTTTCTATCCACCTCAATACGTTACCCCAAATCCCATGCCCTTTAAGTTTATACATTGTTTTATGTGGGACTTGGTCTATAACCTCCTGGAAATGCAAATAAACCACATCTACAGGCTCCCCCCAACCCCGATTAACTCCATCAATCATTACAGAAATGTGGGTAACTCAGGGACAGGAACGGTTGTTGGAAGTTCCGGGATTTAGATGCTTTAGAAGAAATAGGGAGGGTGGTAAAAGAGGCGGGGGAGTGGCATTGCTAGTCAGGGCTAGTACAGCAGCTACCGAAAGGCAGTTCGAGAATGATACGTCTACAGAGTCAGTCAGTTTGGGTTGAAATCTGGAAGAAGAAAGGAGCAGTCACTTTGTTGGGGTTTTTTTTTTTTTTTAAAAAAACAGACCCCCTAATAGTTGCAGAGAAGTGGAGGAGCAGACTGGGAGGCAGATACTGGAAAGGTGCAGAAGTCACAGGGTTGTAGTCATGGGTGACTTCAACTTTCGAAATATTGATTGGAAACTTTTTAATTGTAATATAGTTTAGATGGAGTGGATTTTGTCCAGTGCATTCAGGAAGGATTCCTGACACAGTATGTAGATAGACAAACACGAGGAGAGGCCACTTTGGATTTGGTGCTTGGCAATGAACCGGGCCAAGTGTTAGACCTGTTGGTAGGAGAGCATTTTGGCAGTAGCGACCATAACTCCTACTTTTACAATAGTCATGGAAAAGGATAGGTACATACAGCAGGGTAAGGTTTATAATTGGGGGAAGGGTAATTACAATTCTGTGAGGCAAGAACTGGGTAACATGAAATGGGAACAGATGCTGTCAGGGAAGAGCACTATAGAAATGTGGAGATTGTTTAAGGAATGCATACTGTGTGTGATCAATAGATTTGTCCCTAGCAGGCAGGGAAGATGCGGCCGAGTGAGGGAGCCTTGGTTCTCAAGAGAGGTTGAACGACTGGTTAAGAGGAAGAAGGATGCTTCTGTAAGGTTTAGGAAGCAAGGAACGGAAAAGGCTCCAGAGGGATACAAGTTATCCAGCAAGGAGCTGAAGAAAGGGCTTAGGAGAGCTATAAGGGGGCATGAGAAATCCTTGGCAGATAGGATCAAGGAAAACTCAAAGGCTTTTTACACATGTGAAGAATAAGAGAATGACCAGAGAAAGGGTAGGGCCAATCAAGGATTGTAAAGGGAATTTGTGCGCAGAGCCTAGAGATAGGAGAGGTCCTTAATGAATACTTGTCTTCAGTATCCACATCTGAGAGGGACCTAGTTGTAGGGGAGGACAGTGTGAAACAGGCTGTTAGGCGAGAGGAGGTTGCTATTAGTAAGGAAGATGTGCTAGGAATTTTGAGGAAGTTTAAGATCGATAAGTACCCTGGGCCTGATGGGATTTATCCAAGGATTCCATGGGAAGCGAGGAAAGAGATCGCAGGGCCTTTGGCGATGATCTTTTTGTCCTCACTGTCCACGGGTATAGTGC